ATCCTGAGCTGAGTATGCAAAGCATACAGAGGCAAGTAAAATGTCTTCTAGGAAGAACAAACTCCAGCTGCCTCTTGAAAAAACACCTTTGGGTCACCCATGACCTGGATGACTGAGAATCTGCACAGACATACAGGTGAGTCACACAAGGACTTTGATTGTTGGATGCCCCCTGGAAAATAGCAAATTGCAAGGCCAGATGCTGCAATGGTTGTAATGTTCAAATTTTGATCAGATGACTGTGGGGAATGCCACGATGGTAATAAGTGGTAATAAGCCGAGGTGGCGCAGCAGTTAGAGTGCAGTACTGCAGGCCACTTTAGCTGACTGTGTTCAGCAGGTCAGAGGTTCAAATCTCACTGGCTCAAGGTTGACTCAGCCTTCCATCCTTCCGAGGTAGGTAAAATGAGGACCCAGATTGTTGGGGGCAATGTAAATATATATATACATTGCTTACTGGTGTACACCGCTTAGAGAGTGCTTGCACTTAAAGCGGTATATAAGTCTCATAAATAAAATAAATAAATAAATAAATAAGTACAAGGGCTGGTCATAAGTGACTATAACTTTGATTTGTCATTAAACGGATGTTTGCAATTTGAGAACTTACTATGCTAAGTTGACTACTATTCTATGACTATTTTTATTTTAATCTATACATTTCTATCCCTGTTTTCTACTTCCATGTTCCTCCGCCTAAGTTACCAATGTGTGTTCTTATTTTAATTCTTTCTTCTTTTAATCTTTCCTTCTCCCCCAGATCTTCTTTAAGCTCTTGTAACCAATTTGCATGTGAAAATTCCTTTCACTCCTTTATAGGACTTGCAAATGGGCTGTAACTCATTCTAAATGGGGACATGGTAGGACAGGTAGGCTTGAGATTAGAGCTGAGATCCAGAGCACTATTAGGGTCATATGGCTACTCAAGGAGTCCTTAAGTGACCTTGCAGCAAGTAGCAGGAGATCACAGGAAACCCATGACTCGCCTCTTGAGAGCCCAACTACAGCTTCTGAAATCAACTAGCAGCAGACCTCCATCAAATCCTTAAACTTTCTTTGATTTGGGGAATTAAAGAATACCAAACAGTCAATTTATCCACTTCTTAGAATACAGCTATGTGATTTTTTTCTCCCCCAGCACAGAGAGATTCTCCAAAGCAAAGAGCAATTTCTTTTCCACTGCTCTGCCTGCAACTATTTTCAATCATCCTGAGTCACTACCACCCATCTCCTCACACATTCAGTTTGGTAGTTCTTGACCTCAGCTCTTCCAAGATAGTTGAAAAAGGACCCAGGGCATTTCAAGAATAACATTTGTGAAGTCTCCCGCAGACTTCTGGGAAAGTTAGTCCCTCTAGCAACATGCAGCTGGAGGATGTGCTACACCAAGGTTTCCATTTTTGGAGCAGCCACAACACCACAGGTTTAGACTACATTCTTCACTAATATGTCTCTCTAATATGTCCTGACCTTTGGAGCTAATGCTCTGATGCACTTGAATAAGCAACAATTAAGCACCTCAACCTCATTGCAAACACAAGCACAGACTCTGCATGAAATCTTCTGCACATCACAAAGCAGGGGAAGACACAAGCATGTATACTGTAGCTATGCTGAAGGAAAGGATGGGGAAAGCTTAACAAGAATGAGTCATCAACTGATGTGACCAAGATCTGGGGAGGCTTTGCTTGCTCTCTATACCATCCTTATATAGAAAGGATGAAACCAGCTTCCATGAATTAAAACCTATGCTGCTTCTGAATATGAACAGCAAAGCATAATAATCAATAAATCAACGTAGGTCCAGTCTATTTTATTGTCCACATTAGCAGAGAAATATTCTGATCCATAATTATTTAAACATTTTTTTCATCTAGTTACTACTAGATAACATTAAATCTCACAAACACATTGTTTTTTTTTATTTCCAATTATTCTACCTACAGGATGGAGGTTTGATGTTATTTTGTTTAGATGTCAGAAATCTTGACTCATGGCAAGAGTCTTGCCTAGGCAATCTTCAAATGTATTACATACCGATAACGGTGTTAAAGGAATAGTGTCTGTTGGTACTCTGTCATTTTCATACATTCAAGAGCTGCCCTATTTAAATTAATTGAAACAGTTGGCAGATTCCGTTGGCTTAGTTTATCTATCATATCCATATGCCCACAAAATTTAATGAACTTGTTATGCTACAGCAGAAATCCATTCAGCATTGTTCAATCCCTTCTCTCTCCACAACCTATAGCATTCATCTAGCTTATATGAAAAAATACGATTATATTCTTGACATAAGGCAAATTCCTGGCAAGTCTTCCCCCCCCCCCAAAAAAATAAAGAAGGACCTTGATTGATGTATTTCCCTTAACTCAGGTTACTTGTTTTGCAATTCCACCAGAGCAGCTAAGACTCAACAACTATCGTTACTTTCTAATTTTAGTGAAATACAACAAACCCACCCATGCTACATTTCCCATCGAATCTTCTCTCTCTGATTCTTGCCATTTTCTTTGACTCTGCTAGCCAGTTTCAACAGTATTGCTAAGGCAACTGATATCGAGGAACAGAAACTGGATCAAGTGCTCCAACAATTTAAAAGGGCCCAAGTTCATACATATTCCTTTTTTTTAAGTATAAAATAAAATGGATCCTAAAAAGACATTGGCAAGAATATTTGAAGTTACTAAATACTTTACATAGCATCTAGGTGAGCAAAAGAATACCATGTGCTCTCCTAAGATACTGACTGACTCCGTTTGATAAATGCAGATTCATGAAATTGTAGAACTGAGGCCCAGGAATATGAGAGCCACTGTTGTCACCTCTCAAGAAGCCTTCTTAGAAGAAAGCAAGCTAATGAATGTAACTGCTGGTGGCCAGGCTGAAACATATATAAACCACTGCCATAATTATTCTTTGTTTCATCATCAAGGAGTCAGGCAAGCAATGGATAAACCAAACTTAGCAAGTTACTTCTTCTCTTAAGGTATGTACCTTCCTAAGTGATACTTGGACCTTTTATGTGAATGGGACTGGAGCTCCAGACAGCAAGAAGATATTGTGTGTGGTTGCTGTCCTTCACCATTGGCCAAATTCATATCCTTGTTCTACCATAAGAAAGAGCTCCAGCTATTAAGCTTCTGAAGAGTCATAGATCTGGATTTCCCAGAGGTAATAACAGGATCTAATAGTCTGGGAGAAAAGTTTAAAAGCCACTTTGTAGGTACTAGAAACAACACTGAAAGCTGTGATCAAATAAAATGAAGTCCAAATCATGAAGTCAAAGGTTATGCAGGAAACATATAATAAAGCAATCCTCTCCAAAACAGAGCCCACATTCAGCGTGTGAACTCTGTAAGTTACATCCCTGAACAGATGGTTCTGCTTGTCCACCATCACTCACTGCTCTCTAAACAGCCCCAGTATGTTAGATCAGGAAGAAGCTGCCACATGTATTACAGTGGCAGCTTCAACAAAATGCACAGACTGTTACCAAGCTGAGACAACTGGAGTTCATTACTGAATTAACAACATCATCAACACAAAGAATTTCCACTGCAACATTTGGTGGACCTGTCACCAGCTTTATCTGCTCAGCCTAGGGACAGAAGTGAGAAATCAGCAGAAGTGTGTTGTGTTCTGCTGGAGAAGAGCATGTCTTCCATACTCCACGCAGTTAATTGGACTAAAGCAACAGACCCCCACTACATCTGCTCTTTTACAGTCTGTACTTATAAATGGTTTAATAAAGCAGTACTCAAAGAATGTCTGGATGAAAACAGAGACATTCCCAACCAGTTAAGCACCTCCAACTTTCAATGGATGATCCATAGAAGTGGTGTCAGGAGCTTTAGACTTGGTGAGGCATGTAGTGAATAGGGCAATGGGGCTTACAAGTGAAAGTTTATCTTAATAGTGAAGAACTCCCAACTGTCAAGAGAAATCAGGAGATCCAAGCAGTGCAAATGGGTATAAAGATTTTTTGCAAGCTTAAGCTCTCTACAATGGCCTGAACAAAATGGCGGTAGATCTCTTGTGGGCGTGAAGGGACTCATGACTGATGATGTGGTTGACCCCTTCCTTGGACTCAGCCTGGTCATCTACTTCACTAAGCTTGAAAAAAAAACATTTTTCATCTTGAAGCAGCATCTAACTAACCTTGGCTGAACTCCACAAACTCAACAAAATCAAATATAGTTATGCTCGAAAGAGAGACCACCAGGATGTACCAAAGCTGCAAGAAATTTAGATGAAAAAAATAGGAAAATTGAGTATTGTTGATGGGTATCCTTGATTCAAAGAGGATAATATCTGCTAATGTTCCTTGCCCCGTTAAAGCAACATTACCTAATCTGTGCCTTCCAGTTGTGTAACCATCAAAAAGAATCCCACTTAGCATGAACAATGCTAAGAATCTAGGAACTGAAGTCCAGGTTTTTACTGTACCCAAGATCTGAGTTTATCTATGCATAGAATCGACATTTCATTTTTCCAATTACATAATCAGAATAGTTTTTGGGTCATATGGCCTGAATTGAGTAGAATCTATTCCATGATTTATATAGTGTTGACCATGACTCTTGATGCACATTGTTAGCTTAAGCTTAATACTGATTCTCAGTTCCTGGAATATATACTTGTGGATACTTTTTTCTCCAAAATGTCTACTAACAAACAGATATAGAAGAAAAAAAATACTGTTAATTTTCTTGGAAATAGTATCATCCCAGCAACTCAACCCACCTGCTCCTTATGTTTCCTATTGTTGCCTGCAAGTAGACTAACATCCAGTGAAAACTATAACTTCTTAGCCCAGCTAATGTTTAAGTCAAATGCAGTGATTGAGTTGGCTTAATTATTAACCAGTTTTGTTTTACACACTCAAGGGAACAGAAAGTTAGCAAGCATTTCTATGGTTGTAAGCAGTTTAAAACATTTAGACAAGCAAGGATAAATGATGGTTATTTCCAGACGAACTTACAAACTTACGAATTTACCTGTACTGGGTAACTGCTGGATTGGCTTTGGCAGAACAGTGAAACTTTACTGTATTGTCTTCAAGGACAGGCTGAGGTTCTACTGACAGATTGACGAGAGGTGGATCTGTAAAAAAAAGCACAATGGCCAATTTATTAGCTTTCATGGTTTTGTGTACAGAAATGTGTCTTTCTGAAGAAAGGTTCCCGTTTGCTCTGCTGTTGTGATGTATGGATGTGTGGTAACTAGCCAAGATACCTATTTGACCTTCAGTGTCTAAAATCTAATGGCCCAACAATGAAATTCCTTTTCTTGAAGGAATGATAGCTCTAAAGGCAGGGTAAATCGGGGAGCAATTACTACTTGTTTGGCAATTTCTTCCCCAAGTGACTGTGGAAAGGTCATTCATTTGCCATGTATCTCTGTTTCCATATCAGGATAGATCCAAAGGATTTGTTGAGCAGAATAGATAAGTAAGGAAGCCAAAGGCATCCTTACTTATCTTCTTTACAGCAAAAAAAATAAAATAAAAAATGCACAGATTAGGGACATCTGAGGCCATTTTCTGCCTGAGGGATATGACTCTTGCAAGCATTTTTTTACTATTTTATTAAGGCATTTGAACTGACAAATTTCAGGGGCTCTATTATCATGGTGCTTAATAAGAGCAACCTTCTATAATCCTCTTGATAGTTTCAGGGAAGAATTATTTTGCAATTCTTGATCCTCAATGCAGGCTTCTTTAGCTGTATTACTTTCTTTTTTAGAAAAAAAAAATAACCCAGAACCATTTGCACATGCATTTTGGGGTTGGAGCAAATTAAGCATCTCAAGGCATAGGACGCAAGTGGCTTTTGTCAAAGCCCAAGAAGACTCCTAATAAACGTAAACCTGCCAGCCTCCCAGCTCCAATATTTTCTTTCTCCTCTTTCTCAGAAGAGAAGCAAAATACAAAAGTAATTGGTGGTTTGCAGACATGGTCTATTTTCTTATGTCGTGCATCACCGGTTTCCTTACAAAGCCTAATCGTAGCCTGATTTCACTTGAATTATGTGTATGGTCCTTATATAGGAACCCAAGAACTGATAGTTTTTGGAGACACAGAATATATCTGTAGAACTATGACAAAATTCCATCAAAATCACGGATCTGCTGTTCAAAGAGATTCATCTTTTCTCTTCCATGGGATCCAGAACTATTTGAAGACCCATATAATAGTAAGAAAAGATTTCACAAAAATCCAGGAAAAAATATTGGATTCTCTGTCTGTCTGTCTGTGTCTGTCTGTCTGTCTGTCTGTCTGTCTGTCTCTGTCTCTGTCTCTCTCTCTCTCTCTGTGATAGAGTGAAAAAGATGTATATGTGTGTGAGAGAGATTTCACACATTTTACAAGGAATTATTAAAATGTCATCCGCACAATTACTCGGTGAGTGAATTGTTAAAACTCAATATAGTTACAGATATGGGATGATATGAATCTTCACATACCTAGAGAATGAAAGAGTTTTCCCAAGCTTTTTACCAGGCACACGTTGGGAAGAGTTTTTATTGTTTGTACTGTAATATTTGTAAATGTAAACTGACACAAAACCGTTTCTAGAACGGTTACTTAAATGGAGTTTTACATGCACTCATTAGCTATGGCACATTCCGGACATCAAAGGCCAGTTTTAAATTGCCTATGAACTTGTTTATAAGCAAGAAAATTTCCACAATTTTACGGGGAGGGGGGCTTCCTTTATGAACCCAGTCACCAGCGATTTCAACACAGAGCCCATCAGCCTGCAAATAAGTCATTAATTAAACTAATCCAGGACAGTTTTGAGAATGGGGTTAATTCTTGTACTGCAAATTAAGTTGTCATACAGTCACATTTGAAACAGGAGGCCCTTGTCATCTAGCAGATCGGTTCCTTCTGTTCTGCCTGTGCCAGATTGCTTCTATTTCCCAACTGTGTTCTGGCTGACACAGATTTGCTGGAGGCGGGTGCTCCATTATGCTCCACTTGGCAGCTCAGGCTGCGATACAGGCATGTGCCCTGCTAGTGGGTGGGTCAGGAAGAATCAACCTGAAAAAGCAGACTTAAAGCACCTGACAAAGCCTATCATGTTCTTGCAATGTGATGTAGAAAACTTTTCTGAGCATGACACTGCTGAAGCAGCTTGGGCTTGAGGTCCAAACGGAAGACACCCAAAGTCAAGGAAAAGGTAAAAGAAATGCAGGAACTAGGTGAATGTTAAGGAATGGGGTAGGAGTTAGGTGTGAAGGTTGGTGCGGTGAAGAGGAAGACCGGGGATTTAAGGATTCATCAGGATCCTCAGCAGAGTCATGCATTGCTAGCAAGACTGACAAAACTGTGAAATGAGGATCTTCTGTCACTTTAAACAGGTGCCTGGGTTTCTGAGCAGTTCAAGATCTCCCATGATTGTTCCCAGATACACAGAACCAAGAGAAAGAGTGGGTTGGGCAGGAGAGGCCAAGTCAACAGTGAAGTGATCAGCTAGCAACTACAGTACTGGGTGTTTAGAAACAGTAAAGAATGGATAGGATTCTATCCTTTGAAACAACATAATGTTTGTTGTTCACCAGAACTTTTGTTTCAGTAGTAAAGAATGACGATGATTCATTAAAGATAAGTTCTCAAGTTTCTATCACTCAAATTTCTACCTTCCTCTTCCCAGATCTTAATTTTGTGCCAGGCTATGACCACACCATTTTTGCAGTGTCAAATGTTTTAAATCTTCCATAAAGTGACCTGCCTATGACAACAACATTCTACAGTGCCAAATCTTTGTATCTTCCATCACCTCTATCTGCCTTTAACTCATCTCCATGGGTTTCTGTTGTGAATCAAACAAGAAAAGGAATCATGTCAACCACTCTGGAGTACTTGCAAGAGGAAGAGCGAGCCAAATTTCTGTGGCTGTGGCCTGATTGTGGAATTCATTCATCAAATACCATTTTCATTTTCTGTCATTTGCCATAGAATAATTCCATTTCTTGAGCCTTTGGTAAATAGAACTTAAAGAAAATTGTCATTGCAGTCCCTACACTTGTTCAGCTGGTTTATGTTATCTGTATATTATTTGTTTTCCAGATTTCTGGTGTTTACTGGGAGTCATTATTCTGTTATGATTTTTTAAATCAGTTGAACCTACTGGTTAAACATTTTAGGAAATAAAACAGGAAAAAAAAACTTCACATAATTAGTCTTTGGGCTCAGTACTATTACAGCAATGTGTTTTTGGGTGAAGTTACCTAGAAGTAAATTCCAAATATGTTCAAGCAATTTTTCTTCCAGGAAAGTAAATACAGGGTGACAGTCTAAAAGCAAGCATCTGTTGTGATGTAATCAACATTATTCATGCTGGGAGCCAACCCAAATGCCTGTGGAGCAATTGGGAAGAAGATATTGCCTTCAAAATGTATAAAATTTATTTAATTCATCACTCACAAATTTAAGACATCCTGAATAAGGAGAGAGACATTCTGTTACATTACTGAGTGCAAATTTCAAACATATTGGAGGCCCAACATTGTGTTTGAATCTGCAACCATCAATTATGGCTCCATTTGTTTTGTTCTTCCCTGCTAATGGTGAGCCTTCTCAGTATCAGTATTCCATAACCTTGCTTAGCAGAGAATAAGTATCATCTGTTCCAAAATTTCCATGGGCCAGATGGAGAAGTAGACTTTTCTGGATGGCCCAACTGCCATCTGCTTCTCATGAATATAAAACAGGTGGTTGCGCAGCCTCTAGTCCCTGGTATGATGTAGAATTACAGTCTCTGATGGTACTCCCAGAAGCTTTAATGGCAGTGGGAACAGACATAACAGAAAAACAGAATAACAAAGTTGGAAGGGACCTTGGAGGTTTTCTAGTCCAACCCCCTGCTTGAGCAGCAAACCCTATACCATTCCAGACTAATGGTTGCCCAATCGCTTCTTAAAAACTCCCAGTGTTAGAGCACCCACAACTTCTGGAGGCAAATCGTTCCAATGATTAATTGTTCTAATTGTCAGGAAATTCCTCCTTAGTTCTAGGTTGGTTCTCTCCAAGGGATGATCGGTGGCAGGAATTTGAGTTCTTCTTTGATGCTTGGAGTTTCTCGCTCAAAAGAATTTAAATGCAAAGGATGACTAAACTGCACAGAAATACCAACTCCACACAAGTGTTTAAGAACAGGAGCAAGTAGCCTCCATCTCTTTCTCTAGCAGTAGACCATGCGAGTGGACTATATCTTAAATGTTTTGAAAACAGTCATAGCATCATCAAGAAAAGGAGAGCTTTTGCAAAAATGTCACTTAATAAAGAGCAGGAGATAGGTCAGTTTAGACAAATCCCTGAGATCAATGGCATTCGTGTCCCTTATTAAAAAGAACACAGCCTGAAACTTCATTGCTGGAGACTGATATTCACCCCAGAAACTTTGGACCTAAAATGGATACCTTAATCCCTATAATCCCCACATCCTGTTATAAGAGAAGCCTAGCTGTACATAGGCAACTTGTTTTTTGTTTTGTTTTGTTTTTGTTTTTTTTATAGCAAGGCTCACTACGACACATCGTATTGTTTGAAGAACTGCAAGATTCTGTAGAATGAACTGGAAAAAAAAAACCCACAAAGAAATGTGGGTTTTTTGAAACTAATGAAACTCACTTAGCAAAAGCAGATTGGATGGAAGAACGAAAGAAAAGCCATAAATAAATAAAGGCCTAGTTAGTAGTACTCAAAATTGCTTGGGGTAAATTATTCCTTGCTGACTTCCCCCTTGTAGTAGTGAGGATTTTACCAAGCTGGGATGAACGCCTTGTTAGGAGTGTAGCCACGGTCTTCTGGCTGGGAAGTTATGATGAGAAATTATAGATATTTTCAATTTGCTTTAATCTCGTTTTAAAATGTGCAATCCGAATTACAATCAGGGAAAGCACAGGTTGGAATTTAAATGAGGTGTGCTCCCGCCACAGCCCAGAGACATCCAGTACACTCTTAATTCATTTGCAGGCATCTTGACACTTCTCTATTGTTAGACAACAACAGCTAATCACCTTCCTTTATTATGTATGAATCAAGCTTCTCTTGATAGTTCCCCCATTGTTTGACAATACAGTAGTTGTGCTTAGGATGTATAAACGGATCCTCTTAGTACTCATAGAAATCAGAGTCCTTTCGGCTGTTGGATGTATGTTTTCCCCCTATAGTAGTTTAACAAATTCTACCTTAGATTAAGGACAAGTAAAAAAAGTATTTTGATTTTCTCTGTGAAAATCAAAGCACCCATCCTGCTTCCTAATGGCCTTATAAAGGCAAGCTAGAGATTCCTAACCTAGAAATCAAGTAAAATTTGCATAAATGCAGAGAAATATTTATTCAACATAATGGAATTTTTATTTATCAGCAATTGATCATTTGTGTAAGCCTTTTGTAAGTAATAAAGCCACAGAAGGAACTGCCCCTGCATTTTAGCTCATGAAAGGGGCTGCTTATAAACCACCGTAGCCACAAAACACTTTTTAAATTTTCCCTTGAAATGGAATGAAAGCCCCAATCCATTCTTCTTCTTGGAAATGTTTAGTTGGTGGAAATATAAAACGGAATGCAAACTCAGCTTGGGCCTGTTCTTAATATTTTGAGGATAGAACTGACAATCATACTAGACAGAGTGATGCAATGAAAGGGACAAAGCTGGAACTTTCTATTTGTATTTAGCCTATTTCAGGGATTACATTATGTATTTTGAATGCTTTTTGCTTTGACTTAAAGGAAATCACATTGCCAAGTTCAAGCAATCACACTGCCGATGTTTTGTGGCATAGACAATGGAGTAGATTTACTATTTCTCCCTCCCTCCTGATTTCCGAAGATATCCCAAAGTTACAAACTTAAGCACTGAGTTGTGAGCAGAGTAGAAGAAAGCTTCTGGTGCACGAAGACTAAAAAAAAAACCCAAAAATTGTTTTCCTCCAGTTTACTCCATCCTGGCATCCACACAGAATGCGATTTCCATATAGCCCCTGGGCCTTAGATATATAAATAGCTTATGGCATATCAAGCCATTAAACATGATTTTAATCCCACTTGTGATGTTTGGCACATTCCTCACAGGAGCCTGCTTTGATGTGGCTGATGGTATGAAAATCACTTTGAACAGATGTTTCAGCTGGAGTTGCTCACTCTCTGTAACAAAACCAAGGTTTCTTTTTTTGAGAGCTGGGTGGGACACAAAGAGCTGGAGGTCCTCTGCTGTTTAATGACAGGTAAGGGCTCGTATTGGCTATTTTCTTCTTGAGCCCCAGTGATTTATTTCAGCCACCCATGTTGCATTTATATAAAATGGATTTCCCCTTAATCTGTCCTCCTTGAAAGATGCAAAAAGTAGGTGACTTGTATTAGTAAGTGTAGATATTTATGATGTCCTTTCAGCCATGAAGAAATATTATTTCTGTAAAGCAACGAGGGCGGTGATTGGTTCACAGAACTAATTCAGCTCTCACACCATTCATCTCTTGCAGCATTGCTACTTAAAAGCAACATCAGTTCAAAACGGAGACTACCAATATTTGAAACGGCATGTATGGAAAAAGCTAGAATGACAATGCTATAGTTGTTTCCATTGATCTAAAGAAGAATGGCCAATTTTGCAGAAAGTTTAAGCTGCTAAAAGAGTCAAGGTCCTCCAATGAATAAATTTCATTCATTACATCTGGAAGTTTTTATGGAAGCACTGTCTTCATTTTGGACAGTAGTTGACATGTGAACATCAGGACTGCCTGCTTCTGGTTCAGCAACCCTGCTTCATTTTCAAACTGGAATGCTTCCCTAGAATTTATATACTGCTAAAATTTCTTGTGTCTGCGACTGTCTATGGCAGTGGTTCTCAACCTGTGGATTGGGACCCCATTTGGGGTCGAACGACCATTTCACGCGGATAGCCAAACAACGCAGTCCGCCATTTTTTCCCCCTTTTCCTAAGCTGTGCTACTCCCTTTTATTCTATTGGCTTTTGAAAGCCAATAGAATAGACTCTCTTGAATAGAGTCTAATTCTATTGGCTTTCAAAAGCCAATAGGAATTGTCCAGGCTGTCTCTGCCCTGCTGAGGCCGCCAAAAGTCCCATTCTGCAAACGATGCTGCACCAGTTGAGTAGTCCTCGACTTACGACTGGTTGAGTAGTCCTCGACTTACGACCGGTTGAGTAGTCCTCGACTTACAACCGGTTGGGGTCGCGGCATTAAAAAGGTTGAGAACCACTGGTCTATGGAGATTCTAAGTCATCCAGAGTGTGGTTGTCCCAAAGGTGCTTCTTTTAAGAGGCAACTGGACATTCTTTGCTTGTCCTTGATGATATTTCACTTCTCAACCAAGAAGCTTCTTCAGTTCTGACTGAAGGGTGGAGGATGAAAGGATTTATGCTCCTTGTAATCATCTGTTCATTAGCACTCTCTCTGAGAGTCCCTCAGGCCACTTGGAGGGCACAGATAAGAATAAGCAGTATAAGGCCGGTTGCCTTTTTAAAAAAAGCACTTTTGTGTCTATAACCTCTAACTGGGCGAAATGGTGCAAAATATTTTCAACCAACATTTTCAAATTAGCTAACTTACAGAATGCACCCCAAATCCAGGACACATTCCTGTGGAACTGAAATTTGGCCAAGTTTTAGAAAACATTTTATGACGTAAAAATGACCATGGAACATTTTATGGCTTAATACAAAATGTCATTAAACATTTCCTGTGATCAGTTCCTGTTAGTTGACAGTGCCAGACAGTTCAACATGGACTACTTTCAGGGCAGAAACTTCTCTGAATATGTTTTCCTTTGGTGTCACTGTTCCTTTGTTTTGTATTGTTTCTGTGTTTTTTTTAATATTGTTGCTTGTTTTTGAATGTTATGCAAATTTTGTAAAGCATAAAATTTTACTAAATTTTAAATTAAATTGAATTGAACTTAGTAAAAAGTCTGCTTATTTACTTGCGATGCAAATATAGTCTGTCCACAAGTTATAACCATTAAAGCAAAGCTTGTTTACTGCTTAAAAAGAGTTTCATGTCTTCTCATTTACAACTTAGCATTCAATAATGCCGTACATCCATAATTTTCTCCAACACACTTCCCGTGCCTGTGTCCCTTGTTTTGGACTGATACCCTATTCACTCCACTTAGAAGCTACTATGTTGTTCCTCTCTCAACAGATGAGCTGAGACCACTTTTCAGCAATTTAAGCTCCAGCCAGCTAAATTACATTATTAACCCCTCTCTGTAAGTTTTCCTCACTTTAATAACACCGGAACATCAGCTCCATCAAGACATGTTAACTCAGCAACATACCTTCCCCTTTGCCTTTTCCGTGTTTCCCTAGACTTTCATTTTCAGGATGCTTTGAATCTTGACAATTCATCTGGCAATAACTGCTAGCCATTGCAAACACTAAATTATTTAGGCTACAACTGACTTGCATTTCGATGCGGATGAGAAGACTCGTTTGGCCTTAATGACTGACCAGTGAAAGACTGCTCACTAGGAGTAAATCAATTCAAATAGGAGTAAATAAGAGTAAATAGATTCAAATGTCCCTATGTTATTTTTGGGATTTTTTTGGGGGGGGAGGGAGAGGAGAGGTACAACACATTCAATTTCTTCAATTCTTCAAGTAAACAAACACAGGCAATTTGTCATGCTCTCCCATCTATTGCTACAGCATATGTATCATGAATGCCCTAAGAATATGTGCACTGTAAACATTCCTCCTGGGCAAACTACAGAATGCTATAATAACATCAAAAGTTTGCTAGTTGTTGGGTGTTCAGTAATATGAGACATGTTCTGGCATCTTCTGAAGCCTTATTCTTACTAGATGTGGAAATCTACGTTTCTTTTCCACCATGGCAAAAAACAACATTCCTTATTTCTACTCTCTGCCTCTTACATTACTGAAAACCCCTGAGAATTCATCAACTTTCTCTTATAGTACCATTCCCCAACCACAAAAAAGGGAAATTTGGCAATATTGTCACCTCAATGCTGTCTTTTCTGCTGATCAATTTCAACATTGAACAAGCCAACAAAGAGACAACTAAACTAGAGTGTGCATACAGAATCACATTCACATAGATTTGGTGTCCCAGTTTAACTGCCAGGCTCCCTTCTCTTCCCACCCCCTCCCAAATATCCTGGAGTTACAGATGGTTGAGGGTGGTAGCAATTCTCCAATAGCTTTTTATGGTAATTGGATTAGGTAAAGAGGATAGACCACAATGAATGTATAGGTAATCTCATTTCTGACTCCTTCTCCATACAGTGTGAATATCTATGGAGATTTTCAATCATCCTGGTCATGGTAGTCTCAAAGGTGCTTTTTCGAAAGGCAAGTGGACTTTCTTTCTTTGTTTTTATTTGAAGACATTTCATTTCTCATCCAAGAAGCTTCATTGGATGGTGGGTGAGATGGAAGGCTTAGTTGTGATAGGACTGAGGGGTGGGAGGGGAATGGAAGGATCATATTTCTTTGCAGTCATCTGGTTGTTATCATTCTGTTGAGGCCACTTGAACCCGTGTGTAAATGGGTGTGGAATCAGTGTGCAAAATGGGGGCGTGAAACCGATGGAGCTTCTTGGATGAGAAGCGAAACGTCTTCCAATTAAAAACAAACAAAGAAAGAAAGTCCACTTGGCTTTCGAAAAAAGCACTTTTGATACAGTGGGAATGTTGTGTGGAAGAAAACGGCGAAAGGACCTGCCAACACACTCACGTTGGATGTCAATGGTGACTGAAGTCTCTTTTCCACTTGGAACTGCTTTGTTGGTAGCTCGGCAGACGATGCTTTGGCCATTCTCAATGTCGGATGGAGAGACGAACAGGGTGCTGATGATGCTTTCTCTCTTGCCATCACGAACTACAGTCTACAGAAGAAAGTGAAGAACCAGTTACTACTTTTGGTGTTCTGCTGAACGTATCTCCTGCCCTTCGCCAACCCTTCTGCTTTAATTGGAGAGGAAAGAAATTGCTTTATATCTTTTTCCTGAAGATTAAAGGAAACATGGGTGAGATTCTCAAAGGACGACGAGGGTTCAGGATCCTTGTGCTAAGTAAGAAGGAATTTGAGTCTGAACTTTCTTTCACTGTAGCTTCCTTGCCCTGCAGCTTCCATGTTTTCCCAATGGGAAACACCCTAAGGGTATTTCTTGCGTTAGCAGGACAAGGAGAGGAGACGTCAGAGTGAGGAAGTTTTTAATGAAATAATAAAAGTGTCAGTATCTTCTACTCCTAGGAAAAAATAGTAACCCTCAGACAACATTAAAGGACATCCTGAAGCATCTGGAGGAATACAATTGAAAAAAAGTATTCTTTTGCAGGGAGAGAAATGTTTAGGAAATGGAAGGGCAAGTGTCAACACATTATTAAGTTTTGAAAAAGGATAGAACATTTGAATAGGATCAGCCTTTAGCACTGAAACTATGCAAACTAACTGATCCTGCATTAAAAGGGAGGAACAAACTGAAGCTAACAAGGTCAACAATAAAATACAGAGGAAAGAGCTTGAAATCTATTTCAATTTCCATATTGCTGGCTCAAAGATTTAAAGAAACTGTACCAGCCACCAATAGGCTTTTAGTCTGAGAGAAAATATCAGTGATGGCATTCAAAGTCTTGAACGGAACCTCAATGGTTGCATCTCTTCCCAAGAGTTAAGATCTGTCAAGAGAAAATGGGAGCACCGTTTTAGCTGGAGATACAAATCAAGAATTTTTGGTTGTCCTACCCAGACATATTAATGCACTCCTGCCAAGAGCTTGAATGGTTTCATCACTGATTTCAGTTTCTACACCAAGTGAATTGACCAAAGTTTTTGGTTGCAAAAACAGATGCATAATTGATATTGATCATTGCTTTATTTCATTGATTGTACCTTGTGCTAAGGTGCTTTAGGAAATGATTATAGATATTTCAGTAAATAATTTGTGGGGTTTTGTGGTTGTGTCAGTCATCCCTGAGTGTTAAGCCTCTGTTATAGTGTTGAGCTTTCAATGAACTGTGAGCCATGTGGAAATCTTTGGTGAAATAGGCACAAAGTGCCTATTTCCAATCCAAAGTGCACAGAACAAAAGCAAGTTATGGATAGCAATCTGTTGGGTATCAGAGGTCCTCTGCAAAGCAATAAATCTAGAACCAAGGTACATTGGGTATCAGAGGTCTTAGCAAAGCAGTAAATAAATCTAGAACCAAGGGAAGTTGGATATCAAAGGTCTTTAGCAAATCAATAAATAAATCTAGAAACAAGGGACTTTGGGTATCAGAGATCCTCAGCAAAGCAATAAATAAATCTAGAACCAAGGGAAGTGAACATTTTGTGCCTTGCAAAATGCCAAATCTGCCATTCTGGATCTGGACCTGCTTGCTTATCTAAATTTATAATATTTATCATTTTTTTCCATCAGTTCTTTCAGTCAGCATGTTTAATTCTATCTCGTTAGACAAGCCATGCATATTAATAAAATAGAATATTTCAAAGCTGATTACCATGCAGAACTGAAAATGTTTTTGTATGCATCTCAAAAGGGCACCAGCCTTATGGCACTTCATTGCCAACCCTCCACACTGCTAAATACCAAAGGTGCCCAGGTGCAGACACTGGAGAGATCCCATTCAAAAGTTTAAAGCTTTTTGTAATGTATCATGAGAAGGGTGCAAATGCAGTTTGTCTCAGAATTAATCTCTTGTCATACCTGATCTGAATCTTTTGCTTGCTTTTATGGGGTCTTTAAGAATTGAGATATGCTCTTCACTCCAAGAGATACCTGGTGTATGTCCATTCGCCCACCATCCTTTTATTTAAGAGCATTAAATAGCCAGAATTTCAGAAATCCTATTCTACAGGGAGTGGGATTCTAATAAATCAGCCCATTCCTCAGCAAGATATGAAATTCAAGAATGGCACTCTTTTTTTTTGATGCTGATGATGATATGACTCAGAAGTAGATATTTACTGAGTTCTCTAGGTCTCCTGCAAAGTAATCAAGTCTAGATTTCTTCTTGACACAATTTTCAATCGGAGACAAATCTAGAATGTCTTTTGTGCTCAAGAGTTTTTCCCGAGTTTTAACTTTAGCTGTGAAGGACTTTGCTCTTTACATCCTTGTACTTCCAGAACTCGGAGGTCATACAACTCATACATTCTATGGTGAAATTTGGAAATTGCACCATCGTTGATTGTCTATTATTGCTAGCATGGGGTCTTGAAAATAAAGCTTTGTTGGAAAAGAATTGCAACTGAAAAAAAAATTCTGGAACAACTAATTTCATATACCCGTAGACCTAAGTACATTGTGCTTTGGTACTCAACTGTTTTCATCAAAATTGATACTCAACACATTTTGACATGAAAATTTTGTCCCAGTACTCATTGTTTGTTTAGTACTCAATGAACAAGCTAGAACATGTTGTTGTCAGCTGCCTTGTGACTCAGTACATTATTCCTTATGGGAAAAAAATGTTTGGTACTCATCACATCTCCCAGAACTAATTAGTGATGCATATCAAGATACCACTGTATATTTTTTTGCAGTTTTCCATTGTAGGTTTTGCTGTAGATGCCAAGAAAATGACAGTTATTCTGTCCTCTTTTCCAATTGTCCATGTTCTCCTTTGGCTGTTCAGTTATATTTGTTAATCCTCCCCTGAAATAAGAAATTAATTCCTATTTTCTTATAGTCTTTCTATTTGGGTTGGTTTTGGGATTCAGGCAGTGGAAGGTGGGTTGTGGATTTTAATTAATTGGATTTTAATTAATTTTAATAGATTTTTCATAGCACTTTTAAAAACCTGTTTTTTCATACTTAGAATTAATACTGAACATTCTTCTATTACCCTCATTATCTCTCTTAAGCTTTTGATAATGAAGTAACATAATGGGAACAGAGTTTAAAAGTAGAAAATTGTGGTCAGTCCAAATCTGTCTCTCCATATATCTTTCAGTACTGGAAAAAAAAATACATAACAAATCTAAAAAAATATTATATATACCAAATCTTAAAAAAAAAAACACCCCCCAAAACCTTGCCAAACAATAAACATTTAGACAAATCTGAATCTGTTTGTCTAGGTGTATTTAAAAAAGACCCAGCTTCTAAAATTGTATATCTATCTATCTATCTATCTATCTATCTATCTATCTATCTATCTATCTATCTATCTATCTATCTATCTATCTATCTATCTACCTACCTACCTACCTACCTACCTACCTACCTACCTACCTACCTACCTACCTATATAAAATTTAAAATTATAATTAAAATTTTATTATTTATTTATAATATAACTTTCTTAAAAAGCACAATATTATTATGCCAATTTTATGCCTACCCCACCCAAGGACAAATAAGAGACAAAGGCAGAATTCATTTTGCTACTGTCCAGGTTACAGTGAGGTTTGCTTTGGCAGGTTAAAGTATTTTTTTTTATCTAAACAGAAATCCCTGTTTTGTTTTGAACGGATCCTTAAGGAAGATCTGAAGTAATTCCAAATGAACGTATGTAGAGCGCTATAGAACGTACTTGTAGCAAGCTTTGCAAAAGGAGACCATTGAAGAACATTATTCTGCATCTTTTCAGATAGGTTGGACATATGGACTGGAAACCTCATCCAGGTGGAATTCATCAGCTTAGGAAAACAAATACAGGAAGTCCTTGACTTACGGCCACATTTGAGCCCAAAATTTATGTTGGTAAGTGAAACACTTGTTAAATGAATTTTGCCTCCTTTTACAACCTTTCTTGCCACAGTTGTTAAGTGAATCACTGCAGTTGTTAAGTTAGTCTGGCTTCCCCGTTGACTTCGCTTGTCTGAAGAACGCAAAAGGGGATCCCATGATCCCGGGACGCTGCAACCGTCATAAATATGAATCAGTTGCAAAGCATCCAAATTTTGATCACTTGACCTTGGGGATGCTGCAACGGTCGTAAGTGTGAAAAACAGTCGTAAGTCACTTTTTTCAGTGCCGTTGTTAACTCTGAACGGTCACTAAACGAACTGTTATAAGCCGAGGACTACTTTACTGGAATACCAGTATTTGTTTTAGCAATTTAGCAACCTCATTCTGGGATTGAATAGCTTTCCCTAATCTGGAATTGGGTATAGGTAGGATAGAAAGAGATTTGATGCATTCTACTCTTTTCTTTTTCTTTTACATAAGGGAGTAGACTTATAAATAGGAGAGGGCAAGCAGATTTTTGTACCAGGCTCAGAAAAAAATCTGCAGGCAGAATGTCTTATGAATGGACCAGACTGGAATTCATTCAACACAAAATGAGGGTAGGGAGCACTGGTTCTAATTAGTCTTGGCTGGAATTTTGGGAGGCAAAGTTAAGCCCCTGACTTAATTCCTCTTCTGCATTCTCACGGTATTCTGAAAAATGAGAGTGTGTGCTTCTTGTGTCGATGGTGACGACCCATAGAAGGGGAGTAAAGAAATGGCAAAAACATCGGCTTATCTGAAAGACCATTCACAAGAGAGATACAACTCTGTATGGAAAAGATGGGTAAATTTTGTTCAGAACAAATATGGGATTAGAAAGTATTATTTAGCTTTTGAATAACTTATTGTATAAAATTGTTTTGGTTAGATTTGTTGATTTTATTGTAATGGAGTTAAAGGGGTTTTAATTTTTTTTAGGATTTATGTATAATTGATTGATTTTTATTTAATTTTTTATGTTCTTTTTTTGTTGTTTTTAGCTCTGTACTCAGCTCTGGGAAGGGGGGGAGGGTTAATGGGAGGGGGGAGGGATTTTATTGTAAAATGTTTATAAAAATTTTAATTAAAAAAAAAAAGAAGGGGAGTAGGAAGAGTGAGCAAAGGCATCTAAAAGAAACAGGAGAATTCAGAGAAGGGATTATTTCAGCACACCAAGGTGCAAATAGCACCATCTGTGTTGGGCTTTCCGAAATCCATGCCTTGTCTTTTCTTCTCCCATTTTCTTTTTCTCTTGCAACTTTGGTCTCCCAAAGGTTCTTTCCGAAACGATGGCTTGTGTTTAGGAAGAATTAAATGTCTTAGGGCAGTGTTTCTCAACCTTGACAATTTTAAGGCATGTGGATGTCAACTCCCAGAATTCCACAGCCAGCAATGCTGGCTGTGGAATTCTGGGAGTTGACGTCCACATGCCTTAAAATTGTCAAGGTTGAGAAACACTGTCTTAGGGTTTGGGTGTAATAAAGCAAGAATCTTCTGGTGAGATTGCAGGCAAATCAGGTGGCCTCGAGAAACGGGTCAGAATAAATCAGAATAAATCAGAGGCTGGGCTCATTCCACGATAGCAGAACAGGGCCCGAAGGATGGAGTTTGTAAAGGGGGGTGAAGGCAGAGAGCAGAAGGCAGCCTAGCCCCAAAGATATTTTAACTAACCAAGGTCACAGAAAGTCAAAAAAGAGGGACTCTCTGTATAGGTAGTCCTCGACTTACCACCACAATTGAGCCCAAGATTTCTGTTGATAAGTGGGACAGTCAAGTCAATTCAGCCCCATTTTAGGACCTTTCCTGCCACAGCTGTTAAGTGAATCACTGCAGTTGTTAAGTTAGTAACACAACTGTAAAATGAATCTGGCTTTTGCATTGACTTTGCTTGCCAGAAGGGCCACAAAAGGGAAAAAATCACATGACCCCAGGACACGGCAACCATCACAAATATGAACCAGTTGCCAAGCATCCAAATTTTAATCCTATGACCATGGGGATGCTGCAATGGTCATAAGTGTGACTGTCATGTTTTTCAGTGCCGTTGTAACTTTGAATGGTCACTAAATAAATGGCTGTATTTTACATAGAAGGAAAATTTTGGGGTGGTCTTCAAAAATCAGGGTTGACTCCTAGCGACTGCCTGCTCTAGATTCTGCATTACTCCCTACGTCTTCTGAGCAAGATTTTCTGAAGTGTTTTGCACTTGCCTTTTTCTTCCCAGGGCTGAGAGTGTGTGGCTAGCTTGAGGACATCCAGCTGGATATGTGCTTAAGATGGAGTTTGAACTCCTAATTTCTATTTTGGCTCCTTAACCACAACGCCAAACTGGCTCTGTCTGTAAGGCAATATTGTTCGATATTATTTCTGCCTTCTTCTGTTCCTGATCTTGCTAGTGTACACTGATCAACATGTCAATACTTCTTCAGTTTGTGCTCATTGATGGGAGAGGAATAGGCCTGTCTTCTGGGAGCATTCAGAAGACCATATCTGTGGTTATGAAACTGTGGAATAAGGGACAATATCAGCATGGGCCTCCAAGCGTTTTTGGAACAGAAGCTGCATAGGTCTCCATAAGAATATTAGAAGTTGCCTTTACGCTAAGCCAGACTGTTGGCCGTTCAGCCTAATGCTGTCAGTCTCAACGGCAGCCATTTTCCAGTTTCTGAGCTTTGTGCAAGAGTTTACTGTAGGTGCTAACCACTGAACCTGAAAACATTTGCATGCAAATCTGATGTTTTGCCACTAAATTATAAATTGTACACAAAGAATCTGTGTATGCAGTAGTTTTCTTTGGATCGCTTCCAAACAACATCAGATATGATGTTCACAAAAGCAGAAGCACTTTGTCCTGAGCAAACAAAAGCAAGCAAGCAAGTAAACAATCAATTCAGAGAAATGACTATCTGCCATTCAAAGGATTGAGACATGCAGTTCCTGTGCATAGATATGGTGTGAATGTGGGGCTGGTCCCAGACTGGTCTGCAATTGCCACATGTAGTGAAACCTCTGTTGGGAAAACAATCTTTCCCATCTGTTAAGATTTCCTAGGTCCTGGATTAGTTCCAGACATCAATTAGAGTGGTGATTGGCTCTTTTCAACAAGAACCAAGCAGATCACAATCCTGGGTTGTATAAACAGAGGCGCAGAATCAAGATCACGCGAAGTATTAGTACCGCTTTACAAAGCCCTACTAAGACCACACCTGGAATACTGCAGCCAAGTTTGGTCACCATATCACAAAAAAGATGTTGAGAGTTTGGAAAAAATTCAGAGAAGGGCAACTAAGATGATCAAAGGCCTGGAGGCGAAAACATATGAAGAATGGCTGCGGGACTTGGGTTTGGCTAGTCTAAAGAAAAGAATAGGGGAGACATGATAGCAGTGTCCTAGTATCTGAGGGGCTGCCACAAAGAAGAGGGGGTCAGGTTGTTCACCAGAGCAGCAGAGGGAAGGACGAGAAACAATGGTTGGAAACTGATCAAAGAGAGAATCAACCTGGAATTAAGGAGAAAGTTCCTAACAGTGAGGACAATTAACCAGTGGAACAGCTTGCCTCCAGAAATCGTGGGTGCTCCATCACTGGAGATTTTTAAGAAGAGACTAGACAATCACCTGTCTGAAATGGTATAAGGTTTCCTGCCTGAGCAGGGGGCTGGACTAGAAGACCGTCAAGGTCTGTTCTATTCTATTCTATTCTATTCTATTCTATTCTATTCTATTCTATTCTATTCTATTCTATTCTATTCCTGACCAAGCTGGGACTTTACTTGAACAATCTCATCATGGGCAATCAAACCTTCCTTGATTCTGGACTTGACCTTCCTTGGTTGTGAGTTCTGAATCTCATTGCAGCTGTGTCAATGGGAAGTTCCAGATTCTTAAGATTTGTGGTGAGGAGGGGAAAACCTTTTGCCAGAAGCCTAAAGCCAGCAAGTATGGACTAACAAGAATAGACCAGTTCTCTCCAAATGGATGCTTCACATCATCTCAAAACTGTATTGGACTACAGATTCAGATCAGATTATGTTCAGGATAGTCTTTGGTCTTCACAGCTGAGCCTACCTACTAAGCATTCTTCACCATCATGTCTGTTGCTGGGTATCTAAGCTCCTTCCTTCTGCCTTCTCACTTTCAATCAGCCACACCAGCAAGGATCAATCATCAGGAAAGTGGCATCTTCTTGCCATCCAAATACAAACATACAACAAAATCATATGAACCTAGATTTCCACTCCTGCAATAATAATAATAAAACTTCAAGGCAGCCCAAGATAAAAGTTGTGCCAAGAGGCACGAAGGTGAGGCTGACATCTTCAAGATGGCAGCTTATAATATGCAGAGGTGAGAGCTATTACTTTCCACAGCCTTTGCTTCCTGAAGTCTCCTGCTTTTTGCTTGCCTGTGAGGCACCTTTGGTGGTGTTTTCAGCAGCAGAGTTTTCTTTACAGTGGAAATAAAACTCTTAGAAACTAATATAATGCTGCACTCAGGCACCGAGCGCTCTTTCAGAAATTATAGCCCGGTGTCATATTGGCAAAATGCTCAGCTGGAGACCAAAGGATGGTGTACAGCCTAGCTTCTGGTCTCTCCAGCTGCAGGGGGACAATTTGCCCTGAATAAAGTTTGTTTTGCTCCAAATCCTTGGTTTTACAGTTCTGTCTTTGCTTGTCTCCATGTTTGGGTCTCTTCCCCCCATTTTGCAAAGTGGCTTGGTATTATCTCAACCTCTGTGGGATCCAGGTTGTGGGTGCCTATTGGTCATTTGGATTTCATACAACGCTATGTAGTATATGAAACAATAGTATATTTATCCATTCTGGCTTCCCTGCTGAGCACCTACCCCATATCACTTGAGCTTCTTATATTACGATTTAGAGAAAAGAGCATTATCCCGACTACTTATTCTACTTCTATTGTTCTTCAAAAAGAAGATCCCAGAGCATTGTACAAAAGCACATAACTCCCCCTCTTTTCTAAAACTAAGTAGGTCTGGATTCAGTGCTGGGATGGAATGCCAGATGTGACGACATGAGTTGTATGACAGAAAGAATGTGGGCTGAAATCTCCAAGAAGAAGGCATCTGAACAAAGGCAGTTCTCAACTTACAACCAGTGGTGGGATTCAGCCAGTTTGCACCAGTTTGGCAGAACTGGTAGCTAATTTTTTCTTGCCCAGGCTCAGAATGGACATCCGGAAGTGTGATCCACACAGAGAACCGGTTGTTCATATATTTGAATCCCACCACTGCTTACAACCACTAATTTAGTGACTGTTCAATATGACAACAGCACTGAAAAAAGTGACTTACCACTGATCCTTACCACTTACAAGGGTTACACATCCCCACAATCACGTGATCAAATTTGGGTGCTTGGCCACTGACAACTGGCATGTATTTACAATGGCTGAATCCTGAGGTCATGCCATTTGTGACAAACAATAGTGATAAAAAAGGTTGTAAAACCAGGCCTGAGCCACTTAGCAAAACTGCCTTGCTTAGCAACAAAAATTGTGGTCGTAAGTGGAGGACTACCTATACTTCATTCAAAAGCTCCTGGTGGCAAACTCTGTAAACCCAAACTATCTTTGCTTGCTCCCTTCCAGGTGTCAGATCTGCTTACCTTGGAATAGGTTGCTCCATTGATGACTTCTCCCCTCCTCATCCAGATGATAGATGCTGCTGGTTTGGCATTGTCAGCATGACAGGTAAGATTCAGGGGGTCACCAGCTCGCAGACTGATGATCGGTCCTCCAATAATGATTGGATCATCCGGAGGTACTGTGAAGGAAATAGAGTATGATGAGATTCAGGAGCATCAAAATAAATTATAATAGAATATCAGAATAACAAAGTTGGAAGGGACCTTGGAGGTCTTATAGTCCAACTCCTCTGCTCGGGCAGGAGACCCTACACCATTTCAGACAAGTGCCTGTCCAGTCTCTCCTTAAAAGCCTCCAGTGATGGAGCACTCACAACTTCTGAAAGCAAGCTGTTCTACTAATTAATTGTTCTAACTGTCAAGAAATTTGTCCTTAGTTCTAGGTCGCTTCGCTCCTTGATTAGTTTCCATTCATTGCTCCTCGTCCTGCCTTCAGGTGCTTTGGAGAATAGGTTGAGCCCCCTCTTCTTTGTGGTGAAAATGATTCACCAAATCAGCAATCCTGCTAGGAAACACAAAGGTTCCCCAAACAATATAACCTAATTTTATACACCAATTCAAGAGACCGTTAGGAAATTAGTTAGACCAGTGGTTCTCAACCTTTTTAATGCCGCGACCCCCAACCAGTCGTAAGTCGAGGACTACTCAACTGGTGCAGCACTGTTTGCAGAATGGGACTTTTGGCGGGATCAGCAGGGCAGAGACAGCCTGGACAATTCCTATTGGCTTTTGAAAGCCAATAGAATTAGACTCTATTCAAGACAATAGAATAAAAGGGAGTAGCACAGCTAAGGAAAAGGGGAAAAGAAAATGGCGGACTGCGTCATTTGGCGACCCCCATGAAATGGTCGTTCGACCCCAAATGGGGTCCCGACCCACAGATTGAGAACCACTGAGTTAGACAGACTGCAAAAAACAAAACAAAACAAAAAAACAAACGAACAGTGGATACAACTTGCAGAAATCCATGCCTGGTTTGGCACTGCAAATCTACCAAGTTGTTGTTTTTTAGAGATCTGCTTATAGTAGTAACTGTTCTTTTGTCAATAACAAGATGCTTCCTAACCAAGCTGCATTGAATTATTGTCAGAACGGTGTGCATTGTACAAGGAGAATTAGCTATAACCAAATAACATGGCTTATACAAGAGGACTGAATGCTGATTAGTTAACCTTCTTTGATGGCACACTTGTTCATACAGAACAGGATGTTTGGTTAAAGATTGATTAAAAGGTTGCTTTCTTTCCTCCCAGCTCAATGCCTGTTTACGTCTGTTGAGGTTATTTTAAAATCTATTCCTGCTTTGTAAATCAGAACCCAGGTGTAGCCTTTATTCCAGAGAAAACTGTTCTTGGATATTACCTGGAGAATTAATTGAAATTTCATGTGATTTTTGGATACGACATCATGGAAGTGGAATTAAATACAAATTAGCTTGCTTCTTCGCTCATCTTTCTAATGTTTAGCTACTCATGCAGGGTTTCCCTTTAGAGCAAACCAATCTAAATTTTTTTTTATATGAAAGCAAAATAAAATGCAGTCATAACTATTTTATGGGGATGACTTTAAGTGTTACTATAAGGTAAGTGAAGAGGTAGTGTTCACAAAAAGGATTTATTTCTGCTTCTTATATGCTGTGTAAAAAGTACTCTGCAGATTTGGGTGGTAAGTTAGATGGTTGCTTTGCTTAGCTGTAGCTGTGATCCTCAAATCAAACTGAACCACATTTGATGAGATAGATTACCAAATGTAATGTTTGAGACTATAGGGTGCTTTTAACACAGTGGTGATAGGTAGACTGTTGGGGGGGGGGGAATAACCAGGAACATTTGCACAGAAGAGTTTATTATTGTTACTTCTAATAAAATAATCTTGTCAATGAAATGGTCAAAGCAAAATTGGTGCTATATAGGGGGCAATGGAATTCACTGGGGAGGGGCTGGACTTAGGTCTTTTGTGACAATGTAATGATTCCAAAATTATGACATATTTAACCCTGCCTTCCATCTCAGCCTCTTTTTCTCCTACATAGACAAGGCTATCATTGTCTCTAAACACAACAATACAGTTGATTCAGGGACTAGAGTTTAGACCACTGTTTCTCAATCTTAACAACTTGACTTTAGCTCCCAGAATTCCCCAGACAAGGAATGAATGAATGAATGAATGAATGTCTATGTTAATGTGTGTATGTATATATGTATGTATATATAAATACATGTATATGTATATGTATATGCATATGTATATCTGTACGCATGTATGTATGCATCCTCTTACTCTAGGTTTAAACACAAACACATAAATATATAGTGTGCATTTCTAATAATAGCAAAATATACAACATTTCTGTGACCATAAGAAATCAAATAATCGAATCCTGAACCCTGAATAGTGAAGCTGAAACCTCATTTTTATCTTTCTCAAGTAAGCAATCCAAAAGTGGCCTCTGAATAGAAATAAATCTAAATGGGCTTTCGTCTTTCCTCAGAGTAGTTAGTTTTGCTATTTCTGACAATTCCATTAATTTCAAAAACTGTTCTTCAGTTGTGGGCATTTGTGAATCTTTTCACCTCTATAGAACACTGCCTTTGTTTATTGTAAAGCCCAAAATAACGTCCCCTGTGTTTTTAATACAAAAGTGTATTTTTTTTTTTTAAGAAGAGGGATGGAGGTCTTCAGATGGACAGGCTTTTTCAGTGCTATGGGTTGGAATCAATTATATTTAAGAACAAAGAAATTTCAAGGATCCCCTGCTAGATATGTTGAATCAAAAGCTTTTTTTTTTTTTCATGGTTGCTTGTGAGATTTTATTCAATGCACTAAGTTCTTCCGAAGCCCTTCTATTGATGCTTGCATGCTAAACCTTGGTGGCATCTCTAGGTGGCAGACAGACCATTTAGGTTCTGGTGTGTGTGTGTGTGTGTGTTTCTCCCTGTATTCAGCTTTCATTGTCTGAAATGGGTTTAGACACTAGATATGAAAGCAATAACATATTTCCTTCAGTTTATTTATTTACTGCATCGCTAACGGAGGTCTCCTACTGGGAGATATGCACATCTTATGTTATGAAAGCTGGAGGCAGCTGCCTTCATTCAGCCTACAATGCAAAGCAACAGATTTGGTCTAAACAAAATATGGAGGGAACAGGATAAATTCAACCAATTTGATACATAAATCAGACCACTAACTGATGGCTGTCATTTCAGAATTCTCACATAGCTCAGGCTTTCTGGGTGTTTCAGCAGAGAGGGGAATACCCACGGCACAACAGACAGGAATGAATTTTTACAGATTTTTTTTTAAAATATATATTTCTGCTAATGATTTAGTTCTGTAGCTTTCAAAAGGGATTAAGATAAATTCATTAGTGACTTAGTTTTGATGACTTTCTGCTACATTCTGAATCGAGGATTACAGCTGGGGTTAGGAAGAGCGATATTCTTTCATGATCTGCTTATGAGGTACAAATAGATTAGATATGTCACTGAGTGACACAGAATTGTTCTTTTTTGATCCTGTCCTTTTCCTGCTAATGCAGGGTCCGCTTCCTTCAGACTACCCAAGTATTGATCCATTGGTTGTGACAGGAATTGGCCAATTGACTTGTCACCTAAGCTTGATGGCATGGGCTGAGACCGACTGAGGCCTCCAATATCATCCCAGCCAGCTTTCCTGCCTAAGGAGGGACCACAACCTGCAGTCTCCTTATGATTGGCCCAAAGTCACCCAACTGGCTCTCATGTCTAAAATCTGATTAGGGCTCACTGTCTACTGGTGATTGGCCCAAAGTCACCCAACTGGCTCTCATGTCTAATGCAGGACTAGAACTCACAGTCCCCTGGTGACTGGCCCAAAGTCACCTAGCAACTTTCATGGGTAGGTTGGGACTAGAACTCACAATCTACTAGTTTTTAGCCTGGTGGCTTAACCACTAGACCAAACTGAATCTCCTTGTGTGATACAGAATACTGAACAAAATCCATATTTGGATAGATCCAGATCCAGACCCAGCCTTTTGTGTTTTGGGGTCTTGTCCTCTGCTCTCCTCACATAACTGATAAGGAAGCCTCTGACAGCCCTAATTCCTAACTCACACATGCATAGAAAGCATTATGAACCCTCAAGAATTCCTTCAATTAGCAAAGTCAGATGGTTCCCACCAATTTAACTCAGAATAAAGCTGTTTCTAGAAACAAAAAGAAAGACTGGCCTTTTTGGCTGAAACCTGAGAGTTGCAGAAAACATGAAGCAAAGGAGCAGCATTGCCTGGTTTAAAAAGAAACATCAATTTATCTGGTTAGAGCTGAGAGAATTCTTGTCTTAATCCCCAAGGAAGATTGCCAGTTGGTGTTGACAATATTGATTTAGATGAACCAATGATCTAATTTAAAATAAGCAATCCAGAGTACTATTCTATCTTATCTTAGTGCCTATAAATCACTCTTCAAACAAAAGAGCTGAAGGGGAAAGAAAAAGTCTATTCCAAATCAAATTCAGTACTAAGAACAGTTAGTAGGCTTTTTTTTTCATTCAGTACAAAGAGGTGGTATGCTGAAATCCAAAATAAAACTTAAGAGTCACAAGATCCAGAAGGAAGCAACAAGATCACAGTCAGATATGGTTATGAGCAACACAACATGAGCCAAAAGGCACTGGACACACTGAAAGAATACCAGGTGGAGGCTTAACAGGCATTGGGTATGTCTAGTTTAATCAAAAGAAGGACTAGGGGTGAAATGATAGCAGTCTTCCAATATCTAAAAGCTGCCACAAAGAAGAGGGGGTCAACCTGAAGGCAGGTTAAGAAGCAATGGATGGAAACTAATCAAGGAGAGAAGCAACCTAGAACTAAGGAGAATTTTCCTGACAGTTAAAAAAAAAAATCAGTGAAGTGACTTGCCTTCAAAAGTTGTGGGTGTTCCAACACTGGAGGCTTTTAAGAAGAGATTGGACAACCATTTGTCTGAAATGGTATAGGGTTTTCTGCTTGAACAACTCTGTTATTCTTCTTGACTTGAGCCCAACTTCTGATAGCTGTCCCAAGACTTGGCAGGATCCTTATTTTTATTTATTATTAAATTTATATGCTGCCCATATCACCTAGAGACAACTCAAGATGGCTTGCAACAGAGTAA